GCAACACAAAGTTTTTTTAGTTCAGCGCTGAGCGATTGGAAAGATCCAGTTCCGTGCATTGCTGCTGTATGCTGCTGGCCAACAGATAGAAACTATACTAGTAGCAGGTACGAGAGAAAACGTGAGAATTGTCCAGACGACAGCGTTCCAAGCGGGCCCTCTGGCAGAAAACAAGCGTTCCTGGAGCCCAAGCCTTGCACGGACTGTCAGACCCTTGATTTCTGAAATTTTGAAAGAGCAGTGTCAAAGAGAAGTCACCGGCCAAGGCCTGCAAAAATGCAGAACAAAAGACGAGAAGGGGACATGCGCGAACACGACGGTTAAGGAAACAGTGCGGTGCAAGCACGCCTGCACACAAAGAGATATTTCAACGGCGATTGGCGGCTCGCAGATCTTTATCCGAAATAACTCATCACTGCAACGGATGTGGATTTCTTAGAATCCGAATCCTTCGGCTTCTTTGCCGGCAGCTTGGCGGCTGGGACGATGGCGCTGGCAGCGGAAAGGCACTGCTTGACAGATTTTCCTAGCTGCTCAGCATCGTCACTTGACAAAAGGAACTTGTAAGTTTGAAAGATTTCCAAGTCTCCCAGCGAGACAGACTTTGGATCGGCCTGCAACTTCTTCTGGCACTCATGAAACTTCTTCTTCAGCGCCGGAGCAGCGTAGGTGGCATCTGCTCCTTCCCCTTCCCAGACGAAGAAGCCCAAATGATGCATCACCTTCGCGTAGAAGTCGCCGCTCTTGGCCAGGCTGGCTTCTGGACCTGATCCGCGTAGCATGTTCGCCAAAATTTCCTCCACACTTTGAGCCAAGGTTCGCAAGGCGGGCGGGGACATCTTCATCATTTGTGTTTGAGAAAGGTCTTGCACCGCTGCAAGGGACTGCGTCAAACTGCGTCGCCTGCTTTCGTTGGGCAAAGTCTCCAGAAGCTTCTGAGTCACCGTTGCCTTCAGAAGGCCATCTGCAGCTGTGTTGAGGAAAGCCAACTCCAGTTTGAAGGAGGAATCGAGGCTGCAGAGAGCTTGGGAGTTTTTCTCGAGAATCTTTGCCATGTCCTGCAGCGAGTTGACACTTTCGCTCTGCAGCATTTCAACCGCCAGCTTGCGACAAGCAGCTGCGTCTTGCAAGAGTTCTTCCTGGATCCCGATCTTCGGCTCACGTGCTGCTGGTAGCAGCCAGTCCTCGTACGGCAGCCTTTGGAGCTGCCCTTGCTGGATCGCCAGACCCTTCAAAGCTGCAGACAATCTCAGATGCACCTCCAAGGAAAAATCCATGACAGTGATCGTGACAGACTGCTTCAAGAAACTGATGGCCACATGTCGCTTCAAGCCCTTCAAAGCCGCGACGCGCTTCAGATCACCTGTGTAGCCCTCACAAGCAACCCTCACGTTGCGGACTTTCTCTGCAGTGACGTTGGCAGTGAGCAAGCCGGCAACGTCCTTCTCAACCCTGTCTTCGAAGATCGCCGAACACACGAGCTGCTCGGCATATCCGAACAAGGCTTGCCCCAGAGAGGACGATGCTGTGAGCCGCGCCACGTGCATAGCAACAGCCTTCCAGTTACCAGCACTATGCTTGACTGCTTGCAGATCTGCTTCCTCCATCAGCAGCCGGGCCAGTGACCAATTGGAGTCCAACCACGTCTGCGGCTTGACACCCGCCTTGCGCAAACTGAGGAACTGTCGGCACAGGCAGGAATCGATGAAGTTGCGACAGCAGCCCAACTCTTCTGCAAAGGTCTTGTCAAGCTCATTGCGCAAAATGCACTTCAAGCACTCACGCATGGCAATATCGGCATTCTCCTTTCCCATCGCTTGCGTGTCCGAGATGGCCTTGAAGAGACCCACGAGCTCTTTCTGGTTGAGGCTTCGGGCGTTCTGCAGATACATCGTCAAAGGCTCGACGGTGCGAGCAGAGTTGTTCCTGAGATAGATGCAGCGAACTCTGGAACACTTAACAACTCGCAGCTGTAGAGCGGGGACAGAAGCTAATAGGCCTGCAGGCAGCTAGACGGGTTTGCAGCGGGCTAGCGAAGGAGCGTGTCAAATATCTACACTTAAATTCGGCACAGCTGCAACATACACGAAATGACAACATAACTGGCCTAGGGGCGTGTTGACTGCGGCCTGCAGAGCGCTGAGCAAAGCGTCCGACACAATCTCGTTACTGTTCTTGACCTTGAGCTCGCCCGGTCCAGAACCCGCTTCTGCATAGAGGCGTTGAAGCTCTCGCCAATAAGCAGCGCCTAGCCGAGCACCTTTCTTGGTCCTGACATCGCGTGTGTCCTTCTCTATGCGCTCTCGCAACGTCAAGCCATCCACCCTTTTAGACTCCATCTGCGTAGGAGTCATGCCCGGGAAATGGCTCTGTATCTTTCTTTCCACTTCATCATTGGTGTTGCGTCTCTTCAGAACTCTAGAAGCTGCAGCAGGCTCCTGCTGCAATGCTTCCTGGGCCTCCATGAGTGGGGCGTCCTTCTTTGCTGCAGCGGCTTTTGCGCTGGCTTCAGCCTTCAACTTCTTCGTGCTGGCCGCGGCACCAGCAGTCGAACGCTTTTTCGGGGGCATGGCTACGTAGAAGAGGCTACAAAACACTTCGGGCCGGAAACTATGCGGACACTTTCCTGGAACATGTCAGAAGCGCCACAGGTCTCACAAGACCGCAGCTGCACTGCGTCGTGGAGTGCCGCACTTCCACGCAAGCTGTCTGCATCATGCAATGTACAACAAACAACTGCAGCAAATTGTTGCTCTCTAAAAAAGGCCGCTTCCTTGGCACGCGTTCGTCTGTCCTGCTCTGGGGGGCCCTGCCAGCTTCCCAGCACGCCGGGCTTGCTACAAAAGAACGGTCAAGCACTCCCGGCGGCCAGAACTCCCAGAGCTGCGAAGAATGTCTTGATACTGACTGGGGGGCCCTGCCAGCTTCCCAGCACACAGAGTTTCTTGAAGCGAGCATTCGCGGAAACTCAGTGGCCAGAACTCCCAGAAGACAGTTCGTACAAGCAGCCCTTGCGCTCCGAAGCTCTTGGCCCAAAGCAGCCGAAAAACAAAGCTGAATAAGCGACCGCACAAAAAAGAGCGTCTCCAGCACAAAAGATCTTTGTTTCGACAATTCTGTCTTAATCCCTAAAAGAAACTAAACCCGAAAAGTATCGAACGGCAGCCCAAAAGACTTGGCGCTAGGGGCGCCTTATTCAAAAGTACTGCTGCTGTTTGGCCGGAGCTGTTCCAGGGCTCCAAGCTGTTTTTTTATTTTCACCCGCAGTGCCCGGAGAATTTCCGAGTTTTCTGACGAAATCAACTGGAAAGAGGAGCGTGTAAAACGGTTTCTTGAGCCACACTTTGTCGTTCTCAAAACCAATGCGCAAATTACGGTCTGCTTGAGAGAGTCGCGCTAGGAATGCGAGGCATTGCCTCTGACAGCATATCGCGTGAGTCCTGCTTCTGGGGGGCCCTGCCAGCTTCCCAGCACGCCGGGCTTGCTAGGGAAAAAATCGGTCGAGCACTCCCGGCGGCCGGAACTCCCAGAGCATGTTCGTTGTTTTGTAGTTCCTGGGGGGCCCTGCCAGCTTCCCGGCACACCGAGCTTCCTGCAAAAGTTTAGGAAAGGTCGTTGAAGCTCGGTGGCCAGAACTCCCAGGAGCAAGTTCGCACATGGAACTATTACGCTCCTAAACTCTCGGCCCCAAAGGGCTCCCAAAACCAACGCTGCATAAAAATCGGCTCGACGAAGAGCTTCTCCGATAAAACTCAAAAACCTCTTTCAAAAACCCTATCCTAAACCCCAATTAAATTAAACCCGGAAAGAACCGATCGGTAGCCCGAGAGACTTGCCGCAAAGGAACGCCTTATTCAAGAGAACCGTTGCTGTTTGGGCCAAAGCAGTTCAACGGCTGCAAGCTGTTGTTACTTTATCCCACTGTGCCCGGAGGATGTCTGAGTTTTCTGACGAAATCAACTTTAAACAAGAGGAGCGTGTAAAACGTGTCTTGAGCCACACCATGTCATTCTCAGAACCAATACGAGCATCAACTGTCTGCTTGACTGAGTCGTGCAAGGACTGCGAGGCATTGCCTGTAAGAGCGTATGCGCCCGTCCTGCTTCTGGGGGGCCCTGCCAGCTTCCCAGCACGCCGAGTTTACTATAGGGAAAAACCAATCAAGCAGCAATCTCGGCAGCCGGAACTCCCAGAGTGTTGTTGTTGTTGTAGTTCCTGGGGGGCCCTGCCAGCTTCCCGGCACACCGAGCTTCTGCAGGAGTTTAGGAAAGGTCGTGGAAGCTCGGTGGCCAGAACTCCCAGGACGAGATTTCCCGCTCGAAATCCTGCAGGAACGGGCTTGCTTGGAGCTCGCTGCGCTGTGCATTCGGTGCACAAGATCGCTGCGACCAGACCCTGGTGCGAAGCAGCGACTGTGTGCAGCAGCAGTCATATACGACACACAGACCTGCTGCTACACATTGCCAGCTACACCCGAGGCAAACTGACCAGAACTTCACCTGAGAAGAGTCATGTTTACACCGCACTGCCGAACATGTGACAGAGTGGCTGATGAGATTCCCTGTCTGTTGGGTGCAGCCGACTGAAGGTTGTAGTCCCCACTGCAAGCGTGCCGTGGCCGTGAAATGCACCCCTCAACTGCGCCCATAGCTGCGCCCGTAAACTGCGCCCATAAACTGTTCCCGTAAACTGCGCCCGTAAACTGCGCCCGTAAACTGCGCCCATAAACTGCGCCCATAAACTGCGCCCTGTCAGGCGCCCGAAAACGCCGCCGAAGCAGCGCAAAAACATGACCCCACTACACATCTTCGGCATGGGTTCGCCGAGGCCCACCGCAGAGACCAGCGCCACTAATCTCGCGGGCCAGGGTTTTAATTGGAAACTAATCTATTGATTAAGGGCTCAGGTGGAAGGGAGACCGCAAGGGCAAGCTGTCACAGGTCTGTCGGAGCTCCGTTTTGGTCCACAAAGCAAGCCTGTGCACGGAATGGAACTGCACACTATGAGCTAGGATTTGTAGGAAGGATACATCGAATGGCCTCGCCCCTTCTGTTGGTATCTGGGTTGGCACGTGTCGATGCCAGAAAAGTCTGCCATTCTTCTGTCTCTGAGTATGATTGGAGATCAGAGTCGGAGTAAACATATGTGGGATCGTCTTGATGTCTCCAAATGTCGAAAAAGAACTGCAAGCGGCGGCACCACTCAAGCGCCAGGGCGTGGCATCCTGTCTCCGTGTAGCGTGAAAATGAAAACGACGCCATAGTGTTCAGGCCATACCTCTTGCACCAAGTCCTGGGAGGGCCAGCCGTGGCTTGTGCGATGACCCTGTCACTCTGGTTCACGAAGCGATTGGCCGCAGTCCAATCACCAGATTGGAAGCAAGTAACAAAATGCTGAGCTTGCAGAAGCGGTGGCTCTTGACGCCAACGTGCCCGAGCCTCCTCGAGAGAGGACCAAGCATCTTCAAAAGCAACAGCTTCTTCGGCAGGCTCTTCTGGGCATGCCTCGGTGACATCTATTGTCGAAGGCTGTGTCGTCTGGGCTTTGTTGAGGTACTGTGCGGCCCACGCATGCTCCTCCAGTAAGGATGAGGCCACATGCTTTGGAGCCCTGGGGCCTGCAGAGGCAGACCGCGCACTCCCTGTGCGGCGACTTGCGAGCGGCAGGAAGTCGTCGAAAGGCACAGGGAGACCGTAGCCTTGGGCAGTGGTGGCGGACTGCAAACTCACATGCTCCAGAACCAGCAAGTCCTTGCTTTTTGTCCCTGCGAGTTCTTCATGCGTGACAGACACCGCCAGATTCATTGTGAAGGCGATATCGCTAGAGTCATTCCAAGCTGCCCACGCACTCTCCATCGAAAGGTTTGCAAGGCTAGGCAGCTCTTTTGCAGACACAAGCAAAACCAAGAAAAATGCCTTGAGTGGGCTCTGTGTTGCGTAGAGGAAGTAGAAAGCCTTGCTATCTGTGTCTGTAGATGTTAAAAGGACTGTTCCTCGGAACTGCTCCCGATTCCAACAAAGCACTGACAACCACTCAGGCCGTTCGGGCAGCTGCCCTGGCTGGGCCACGACAGGAACCGCTGCAAGAGAGCCCTGCACTTCGGAAGGAGGGGCGCGCGGAGCAGCCATGGCGCGCTGTCGAAGCTCCCGCACCCAAGGCCATGTGAAGCCCTCGTCAGCAGCCAAAGTAGCAAGAGCCTGCCAGTCGGAGTCTACAAAGCGCAAGTTGGCAGCTGCATGCATGAGACCAGCATGCTCCAGCTCTTGCGTAGCTCGGGCTCGAGCCATGCTGAGCGCATCTCTAAGATGCTGCAGGTCTTCCTCGCGAGAGCGGCGCTTCCTTTCATTCTCGGCTTGTGAGCGTTGCTGAAAGAACGCTTGCTCTTGCGGAGACAAGGCAGCATAGACACCTGCATGATGCCGCATCACCTCCTTGCGAAGATGTGGAGACATGCGAGTGCCCTCAGCCAGGCCTTGCTTCACCTCTTGCATGAGCCATTGCAGGAACAGGTGTCTGCCAGACGTTTGACCACACGCCTTTTGCTCAAGCTTCTGCACTTGCAAGCCCTTTCGGGCCACGTCCTTGCAAACGGGAGTGTTGGCAACTAGATGCCTGCACTGGTGCAAAAAACTTCTTGCCGCAAGCATGTCCGTCGAGAAGGTGTGATGTCTATGCATCACAGCTGCGGAGCCATGCGCTTGCTCAACCCCAAGAGTGGACCAATGCACGTCTCGGAAGAGCATGATGGCATCCTTGATTTGCTGTCGGTTCCACCCCAAACGCAGCAGCTGAAGAATTTTGTGCGCTGTCAAGTCATGCACATCTTTCTCCTCTAAGAGAGCTGCCAGGTTCTCATCGATGTCTCCAACAGCAAGTCTCCACGGCAGAGCTTGCAAGACTCGAAGCACCTGCAGGGAAGGAATATGAAAGTGGTGGAGACATACTAGTTCCTGGGCAGACCTTCAGTACAGAAATATGGAGATGAACCCTTGTGCGGCTACGTCCTTCTCGCGAATGTAGGCGCATGCAACTTGCGCTGCATGCAGAGCAGTGCTCCTGAGCAGCTGGGGCCGCATGGAATCTTTCAGCAAAGCACTCAAGCGCGACCACGTGAAGGAGGACAAGGAAGCTACATAGGTCAGTTCGTCCATCAAGGTCTCGTTGAGCTCGTCATAGCGCCGCACGAGGCGATCATCCTCCAGAACCAAAAAGAGCGCGCCCTCTGGCACCCAGGCGCCGACAGTGGCCAGCACTACATACTCCAGGTGCGCCTGCTGCAGCCGCGCAAAACCGTGCAGATGATAGTCTGTCGTGTCCTTGTCTTGCCTGGCCCTGTTGACAAGTTCATGACAGCCTACTGCCAAGGAAGCAAGTAGTGACCGCATGGCTGCTCCAACGGTGCAGAAGCGTGTGTCAACGAAGCGTCGCCAGCGGAAGAGGTAGAGGATGGCTCCTGATACGCGTGCCAGCCTGTCGTCCTCATCGGCGAGGGAGGAGCTCACGTGCAAAGCGCCGTTGAAAAACCAAGGGTTCACATGAGCGATCTCCTCCAAGTGGTCGGCTTCAACCCCGAGCAGCTGCCAGAATTCCATGGCCGACTCCATGTCCTCTGGAGGCAAATCGGCCACTAAATGGCTGTGCAGGAAATGTGGCAGCTGAGCGTGCAGCAGTGTGAAAGAGTTTCGCAAAGACTCCAAGACAATATGCAGGTCCTTGATGATGTCAGCGCTTCCATGTGCTGCCAGACTCCACTTCAAGGCATTTTGCATGTCATGAGCAGCGCAACCTGTGCGAAGGTGCCATGTACGAAGCCAAGACGAGGAGTCAGCAGCCGCTGGTCCCAAGCCTTGCGTGAAATACGCCTCCGAGCGTTGGTGCAACAGTCTCTGAAGTGGCTCCATCACTGCTCGGTCTGCCGCCACATGGGTAATGCTTATGCCTTGGTGACCGACCTTTCGAAGCAGCGGATAAAACGCACAAGCTGCAGAGAAAAGATGCCATGCGCTCTTGCCGTTGGTGAGAGGAACAGCTTCCGCAAACAGGACCGCCACCCGTTCCACACCAGCAGGAGAAATGCTTTTGAAGAACCCTCGCTGCATGAGAAATTCTGCCAAAACCTTGCCTCTCCGCATCACAACAGCTGCCCCCAGTTTTGCACTGGCATCGGCACGACACAGAAGCGAGGTTGCATCAGCTGCATAGCAAAATAGCAGCGGTTGGTGCGCACACTCTGTCACCAGAGTGTCGCACTTCTGGCGCAAGTGCCGCTTCAGCAATTCAACACAAATGTAGACTTCCTTCTCTTCATGGTTGCCTATCACTGTGCCCACCCGGGCGTAGCGAAGGAATGCATCCCTCAGCGTTTGAGCTTGCAAAACTTGGGCTTCACTGTCCATGCCATCCCCAGCAGCAGCCTCGTGCTTGCAGAGCCGGCAAGCATATCATGCATCAAGGCGACTGTGGCCGGATTCTAAAATTCATTGCAACTTGGCACTGCTCAACACAGACGACTTGCAGTCACTGATCTAGCGATGGCTCGTCACACACCTTAAGCATGCACGCAGCTTCTGCACTGCCGACCCTTCAACCGCGTCAGACATCACTTCTGAAATACGACATACCAGCTGAGACAACAGAATAGAGTCCAACCGAATAATTACTCGATATCTGGAGCTTCGTGCCACACAAACAGCTGCGCCCATTGTGATTTCATCCGGAACCATGCAGTCTTCAGAGCATCTTGAGAAACCAAAACGGACAAAAATTACCAGCTAAGCCATGCCCATGTTATCATTTGCAGAGATTCAGCAAAAGCGGGTTTCGAAATCAGCCTGCGCGTCCGTCGAATCTGTGCAGCATCTGAATAGAACTGGACATGTGGGTGTTTCTATGAATCCGCTCCCCCCGATTGGTAAAACCCCGTCCCAACCCCGGCCCAAACATTAAAACCTAATTTCGCTTGAAATGACCATTAATACCAGGTTCAGTTTCAGCACCGATTCATTGTTCAATGCTGTATGGTCAACACTGCTATTGGGCATGCCGCAGACACTGCACTCCTACGTTCCTGCGGTTGCTGCAAACTGCAGTTTTCTGGCAGCGCCTGCACTCCTACGTTCCTGCGGCCCGAGCTGGCTGCAGATCTTGCAGTATGAAAACCCACACGTTCTACGGCAAACTTGTTCTTGCAATCGTAAGGTTTCGGGTGCGGGGATAATCCTCAAACTTCAACTGTGAGAGGCAAAGGAATCCAACTTACACTTTTTAGTACACACTCGCTCTTGCAATCAGAAAGTTTCGGATGTTGCCATAGTCCCTTACCATAAACTCTGCGACAGAGTCAGATACAGAGAGGGGACCGCTTCGATCCTTTTATAGGTCACAGCCATCTAGTGGACGGGCCGATCCGGCTGGAGGTTCCTAATAGCCCCTCATTGCACTGTCGTCCTGGCCCTTTAAACCTCCTCTTCGGAAGCATTCCGGGCCAAATGCCCTCCGGGAATTCATGAGGTTTCTACATTCGGGGTGGGTTTACCAAACGGCGGAGCGGACTAGATTCGCTCTTTGACCAGTGGAAAATTCTTGCACCAATCTCTTGCAGTGTGCTCGTGGAACGGCAGTCTGGGCAAAGTTGACCCTCCCTGTGCTTAGAAGCTTCATGCAAATATGAGAGACAAAGGTGTGTTGAACGATCTTGCTTAAAACGGTCTGCGTCCTACTGCCCGATTGTAACCAGCAGCCTCTCCGTCTTTCAGTACCGGCAATGATATGCTGTTGTGTTGCTCTGGTGCCGCACAAATTCAGTAGGTTTTCATGCCAGGACAACAGCTGTCTCATTGCATGAAATTACAAGATAAGGCATCCCACGGACAGTCGTGTAGCATCGCACTAATCGCCTGGTGACCTCGCGGTCCGAATCCCAAATTTCATGGTTCCAAAAAAAAATTATCCGAGAAACAAGGCTGGAAATTAGCGTTTTTGAAGCTTTAAGGGCTCTGCAGACTTGGGGGACATGAAGTATATCGAGATGGCGAAGGAGGAAGCCCCTGGTACTTACCCTTTGCTGTCGCCGGAAGAAGCTGAAGCCCGTGGGAAAGAAGCAAGGAGAGCAGCCAGTTCCAAGAAGAAAGCTGAGCCGGAGAAGGCCAAGCAGGAGATTTGGACTGCTAAGGATGACACGCCGAGCAAGAACGTGGTGGACTTGGTTGAGAATGAAGAAGGACTTACTGCCACACCAAGTCGAGCGGAACTTCGCAGTAAGATGGAAGAACACCAGAAGGAGAAACTGCGTAAGACTCTTGCCTCAAGGGAGGCGCAGAAAGCCATGGAGGAGATGGCAAAAGAAGCCGACCTCTCTGAAGGAAAGAAGGATGCCAAGGAGGCAGAACCGGAAGAACCAGGGCCTGGTCCAGGACCGGACGAAGCAGGGAGTGATGAAAGGATGTCGGATTCCGAAGCCAGCGAGCCAAGTGAAAGAGAAGAAGACCCGGATTCGGAAGAAACCGATGCCAAAGAAGGAAATCCACCGCCTGAGCATCTTGCTGGAGCCGGAGACCCAGCTGGAAATGCAGTCGCAGAGATCGACAAGGAAGATCTGTGACGTAACGGCCCTTTGGCCGACAGCAAAAGCTGTACTGGCAGCTCTTGTGTAGCTGCGTATTCGGATCAACTCTTCTCGCAGGAAGAATGCAAAAAGGAGTCACTTGCACTTGTATGCGAAGGAAAGTGAATCGGATGCACAGTGTTCGTGGAGACGTAAAGTGAGTGGATGCAAGCGGAAAATTAGAGCATGGGTATTTGCATGCATGCTTGTCAGGACGGAAGCTATGCAAGGAGGAAGTCCACAAGCGCAGGCCTCAGCAGCAGCAGTACCAGTACAAGATGGTGGAGATGGAGACGGATTAGGTATGGTGCCTACTCAAGATATACTCGGACAACTAGTTCAGAACTCTAGAGTCACCGCTGAAGCAATCAACCAGATAGTTACCTACTCTGGAAATCAAGGAAATGCTGGAAGCTCGTATGAAGGTACGTTGTCTAACAAATAGGAAGGTGCAGTGAAGATGTTGGGCAGGCCGCCGTCATTCGGCGGAGGTAAAACCGAAGTACAAGACTTCATGGTATTGTAAGGAACAACTGTACAACATTCTTGCGTATGCTGAACCCAAGTACGCGGATGCCTTTAGGAATCTGGAGAGATTGGAGGACCATGAAGTATTGCCAGCTACTTTCGCGGATGGAGAACAGCAGACCATGTCTACGAAGCTTTACTCGTTGTTGAGTTCATGGTTGACCGGAACCACGAAGCAGCATGCACGAGACCCAAGTATTGCTGGATCAAGAAACGGATTTGCTTTGTGGAAGTCATTGCTGAGAATATACCAACCGAGCACTCGAAGCAGAAGTCTAGCTTTGATGCAGGCAATTCATGGATACCCGAACTGTTCACCTGGATTGAGTTCAGTAGCACAAATCTCTAAGCTGGAAGACTTGGTAAAGGATTACGAAAGGTGTAGTGGACAGAGCTACCCTCGAGAAATTCTCTTGTCTACGCTCTTGAGATGTATTCCTAGCCCCTTGAAAGAACATATTCATCTTCAGCTTACAGACAAGACTACGTATGCCCAGGTAAAGGAAAGTGTACTTGTTTACGAACGAACAACAAGGAGTTGGATGCCGAATCAAGTATATCAACCTCTGGAGTCTGGATATAGTCAACAGTACCTTGGAGCAGTAGAGACTGCACCCACTGGTGGAGGACACCAAGCGATGGAAGTGAACCGAGTAGAGTACAAAGGAAAAGGATGGAAAGGAAAAGGTGTTGGAAAAGGAAAAGGTAAGAAAGGCTATGGCAAAATGTTCGGAGGATTCGGAGCCATGCAGGCAGGCCGAGGATCCAGGTTTGGTCGCGGAAGAGGCAAAGGCAAAGGCCGAGGTAAAGGAAGAGGAAAAGGTAAAGGCAAGAAAGGTGGGAAAGGTAGAAAAGGTAAAGGAAAGAGTAAAGGCAAAGGAAAGAAAGGAAAAGGAAAAAGGCTTGGAAGAACAGTTTGTAGGATCTGTCATCAGGAAGGACATCGGGGAAACGAATGCCCCAACAGACATTCTGTTCGGAACGTGGAAGCCGAAGAACAGCCCCGAACGGAAGTGTATGCAAACAATCCACCTAGCCAAGAACCGTATCCCCGACCCAATGTGGTCGAGACTGGCAGTATACGCCAGACGACCAGCAGGCCAGAACCAAGGATTGTTACCCGGAGAGTAGGAGTATTAAGTGGCACAAGAGGATTCAATCCTAAACCCTTTTACCATATAGCCACTCCACCGGAAGAATATCCGGAGACCTTCCCGATCAACTCGGAAAAAGACGAGGACGAGCTCGGAATCACGTACACCAACACAGTACGAATGGTGCGAGAAGTTGCAGCAGAAACTGCAGAAGGTGAGGAAATCACCAACCCATATTTCGGTGAACTACCCAGTCCTGGTTTTACAGATTCGGAACAGCAGCGTGAATATGGTGAACCAACTGGAAACTGCCAAGGTTGTGGTACACGCCTGGAGCCGGTGTGCACACGAGTGTTGCCATCAGCAGACAATGGGATTCCACGAGTTCCAGAACATTATGCAGGAGAAGAACACTACTTACGGCAGCAGAGGAAACTGAAGAGTGAAGGAAAGCCCTACGACAAGAAAGCAATCGAGGATGCTGTGAAAAGAGAGAATGAGTGGATCGAGTCTTACCTCAATGCAACGAAGGAGAAAAAGGAGACCGAAGTTGAAAAGGTTCGTATGGTTCGTGAAGAGTTTCATGATGTAGCAGAGTGGTATGTGATGGACGCCACGGATGAAGATGGCGAAAGGTTTGTGGTAGATGACCACGAAGTAGTTCGAGCAATTCAAGAGACTGAACCCGAGGAAGCACTGGAGATCATCATTTTGGATTCAGGGTCGGATGCTAGCTTGTTGCCTAAGTCACATCCGAAAGCTTCACGCATCAATGCAGGAACAACAGGTATCTTGCTAGAGGATGCCCAAGGTAATTCGATCAAGTCAGCAGGAATGGTCACTGCTGTGATCTCTGTGGAACAGGGAGAGGACTGTTGGACAGCCCCAAGTATTTCGGAAAGCTTCATTGTGAGCGATGTAGAAGGAGGACAAGGAGTTGAAGGATCGCCCAAGAAATCTCGCGAAGAGCCATCTGCACCCTCGTCACCCTCAAGAGGAATCTACCCGCCGCTGTTCGCAGGCAGGGTATCTCAGGAAGAGGATCCATTCCACTGGGATGAGCATGAGGATCTTACAGCTGTAGAAGGAGAAGATGTGGAGTATGAAGACCTCATGGAAGAAGAGATGGAAGAAGCACCCAAGAACGACCAAGGAGAAACGCCACCAGAAT